GGCGAAGAGCACAAGCAGAATGCGGGACGGTATCCAGAGAAGCAGCAGCGCTAGAGATGGAGGCAGTGATGGGGTCATGGAGAAGGGGGAGTGGCAGAGGACTCTAGATTCTTCGGAAGAGCGGGACTAATTGCTGGTGGCCAGGAGGCAGACTTGGAAGAATGTGCCCTTTGGAGGTGTAAATTATTATATATGCCTGAGTGTTTGTTTGTTGTTTTTTTAAAAAGCTAAAGTGGATAAAAATATTGTTAACAGATGGTACATGAAAGTGATTATAATTGTTGTAATGAAACAAGGTGTATGATTTGTTGAATGTAAAACTGATGATCTGCCCTGTAAACTTTCACTGAATCCACAATAAAAACTTAAAACAAAAAAACTAAAAATAGACTTTACCTCACATCATTCTGAATGTCTGAGGAGTGATTCAGCTTCTGTATTTTTGTTTATAATCTTATTTCCCATGGTTGACAACGTTTGCAGGCCATGGATTTTTCCAAGTAAAAAAATAAAAACCATTGCCCTCAAATCTATTATAATTCTGTCAGTGCTGAATTGGCCCTTTATATTTACATCTCATATCTTATTGTACAGTGTGGCACTATAGGATAAGCACTGGAATGCTAACTACAAAGCCAGCAGCTCAAACCCACCAGCTGCTCTTCGAAACCCTATATAGGGTCACTATGAGTTGGAACCAACTCAACAACACTTCACAACAACAATATATATACAGTGAACAGTGACCCTGTTTAGAGTTTCCAAGGAGCAGCTGTTGAATTTGAACCACCAACCTCGAGGTTCAAACTGCCCTTGCCGTTCAGTGCTTATCCTACAGAAATTAAAAGAGTAGAGAGATAAAAATTAAGTGTCATGTGTGACTCCTAGACTGGAAAAAAATATTAATGAAGCAGTCAATAGAATTTGAATATATTTTTTATAATTATATACTATCAATGTTAAATGGAGCTCTAGTAGCGTAGTGGTTACGAGTCAGGCTGCCAACCTCAAGGTCAGCAGTTCGAAACTACCGGTGGTTCCATGGGAGAAAGATGAGGCTTTCTGCTCCTGTAAAGATTTACAGCCTCGGAAACCCTGTACAGGGTCACTATGAGTTGGAACTGACTCCACAGCACATAACAACAACATCAATGTTAAATTAACTGTACTGTGGTTGTGTGAAAAAACAAACACTGAGTATTTTAGAGGTCAAGGGGTTCCAATAGACTCCAAGTAATTTGAAAAACAGATAACATGCAGCAAATGTAAGATTGGTGAATCTTGGTAAAGAATACATGGGAACTTTTCTTGTACCTTTTCTGTAACTTTAAAATTATATCAAAATCATAATTTCCCCCAAGCAGTGCCCTGTAGAAAGGAAGTTCATAGAGAACTAGTTCACTTGATTACTGTCTCAAAATGTTTACTACTTTAAAGCGTTCAAGTTAACATTTAAAAATTCTGAGTGGGTGAGGTGTGGAGTAACATATTTCTCCTGAGTCATTTTCTTTGTAATGACATAGTTCTCGTTCCCAAATATTAAATTCTAGATTTCTATTTTGAAACACAGAAACATGTTTACCAAAAACATGATTTACTTAGCAATAGCATCAATATTTCCTTTTTACTGTTAGTTCTGATATTGCTAAAATGTCCAGTCATACTTCGTTGTTTATTTATGGTAGCATAAATTAAGATGATAGCATGTAACTTTTAAGGAGCCCTGGTGGTTGGTGGTGGTTGTGTGCCGTGGAGTCGGTTCCAACTCATAGCGACCCTGTACAGGGTTTCCGAGGCTGTACATCTTCACGGGAGCAGAATGCCTCATCTTTCTCAGTGGAACAGCTGGTAGTTTTGAACTGCTGACTTTGCGGTTCGCAGCCCGATTTGTAACCACTATGCTAGATTACAAGTTGGCCTGCTAATTGCAAGGTGAACAGTTTGAATCTACCAGCCACTCTGAGGGAAAAAGATCTATTAATATGTTAGGCAGCATGCTATAGGGACTGGAGGATGTGATGATAAAAAAAAAAAAAAAATGAGAGTGAGAAACTGTTAATAGTTCCAAAGGTGCTATTGTCTCATTCCAAGAATTTCTCTGGTTATTGTTGTATTGCGAGAAGTCAGAAAACAGAAAAGACAAATATATACAAATGTGGGCACAGGCAATTTAATGTATTTAAAACATAAAACTGTTATGTTGACAGTCCTTCTAGAGTCTCTTTCTTAGTTTCCTTAGTTGTTGTTAAGTGCCAAGCGACCCTGTAAAGGATTTCCAAGGAGCAGCTGCTGTTCAACTGTACAGTCCTGTGCGTTAACACGTAGTACCACACCAAAGACGCCTTTTAGGTAGTATTCCTTAGTTATAGTTTGATACTGCAGGTTGAAAGTGGTGACACCTTCTAAACCAGAGATGTTAATGGGATTCATTCGTTACAGGAAGTGTTTATAAAGAGTACTTATGTTCTCCACCTCTGTTGACTAGCTCAGAAAAATCCATTGGTCCTTTTGCTTGTGCCTTTCAAATGCCATATTGTATTTGCTTCCACATTTCAATATTGCTGTATGCACAGTATTCTGGATATTGTGACCTTGCTTCTTCTCTGTTTCAGTGTATCCAAAGGCAGGTCTGGCCTAAGGAAAAACTTAACAGATAAGGAACTTTTACTCTACGCCACCGCCTTTTCATTTTTGACTCAGTGCTAAGTAGGAGGTAGATTCTGAGAATATTAAGATATCTCAAAGAAATACAGTTAGAATATAAAGAGAACTACACCGGAACTTGTTGCATACATTCTGAGAAAGACTTAATATGTTAAAATCTTGGCTATCTCACTTACACAGAATTCATCATCTGTACAGTGAGGGCTTGTATCAACTTGAATAGCAGCTTATTTTAATCTCCCCAAAGTACTAATACCATGTTTTCTACACTGTTCTGCACATACCTTAATATTTTATATATATATATATATATACAGGCATACCTCATTGTATTGTGCTTTGCAAATAACTGGGTTTGTGTGTGTGTGTGTTATTTTGTTTTCCCACAAATTGAAGGTCTTTGTCAACCCTGCTTCCAGCAAGTCTATCAGTGCCTTTTGTCCAACATGCATGCTCACTTCATATCTGTGTCACATTATGGTAATTCATTATGAAAATGCGAACTTAACAGACAATGGTATAATATAAATATAACTTTTAAATGCACTAGGAAACCAAAAAATGTGCATGCCTCACTTTATTGCAGTATTTTCTTTATTGTGGTGGTCTGGAACCGAACCCACATTATCTCCGAGGTGTGTCTGTTCGTGATTTTTATCATAATAAAAGCCAGTCGTTGTAGTGACATTATAATCACAGCTATGTAAAAAAAAAACTATGTACAAATACTGCAAAGATTGACTGAGAAAACAATGAAAGGAGTTTTAGATTAATAATGTAAGGGGGTGGGCGGTGTAGGATAAGCACGTAGCCTCAAGGTTTATTTGAGCTGCAAAGTTGGTGGTTCAAACTCATCTGCCGCTCTTTGGAAACCCTGTGCAGCTATGAGTCAGAACTGATTTGACAATACTTAGCAACATTTTTTTTGAACTGACAGTGATCTGGGGGCTTGTTTGAGAATTTTTGTTTCGCTTTGAGATTTATAGTATGTTTGATAAATTTCTTTTTAAATTTTTGGGGGGCATTCTTTTTTAACTTTGCCATATTTTTGTGTCCCTTCTTATTGTCAATCCGTTGCCTATCAGTGATTTGTCTTCCCATGACTCTACTGCATCTAACAGGAAATCTAAACATTTATTGAAGGATCTCTTAGTTTCAGGTTTAATGTGCCAGACAAGCTCTTACCACCACACATCGTATACCCCTTTGCCTCACCATACTTCATATACCCCTTTTGTCTACACATTAGGGCAGTAGGGATTCAGAAGTCAATTTTAATAGAAAAGAAAAAAGCTCAGGCATTTCCTTGTCATGAATTCCCTCTTTTCTTATTTTCTGTGTCCTGGAATCTAAGAGGTTTAAGCATTGTATTTTGAAGAGACCACAAAAGTAACAAGCCATGAATTATGCTAAAGGAGCAACACAAAGCTTCTTGGTGATTCTTGTCTGTTTTGTTTTGTTTTTCCATTAGATGAGTTTGATTTTGTTTTCCTACAACAACCAAGGGTGTTTCTGTTTACTTTTTAAGACTGTTGGGGGCATCTTCCCCAAATCATGAAAAGTAAGCACAAAGCTCATTTTAAATTTAATTTGGAGTAAAATTTAAATGTAAAAGAGAAGTGTGAATTGCAGCATCCTTTTATTTAGAGAATAGGTGTCTAAAATCAATGAGGTTTCATAACTCTAAACCAGGCATTCCTGAGTCAGACTCGTAGTTCCTTCTGATTAAAGCTTTGTTGAGTCTTACTCTAACAATGACTCTCAAACATTTTCTTGTCAATGTTGTATACCAGAGCAGCTTCACTGACAGCCTAAACCTCTCCCCTGTTATATTAAACACCTCTCCAAACTCTGAGCTCAGGTTTTTTTTTTTTACTATTTCTAGGTACTTTTCTCTCTTCCATGTTTTTAATATGCATTGACCTGCTTCTTGTAGCTATCATTTTTAGTAGCTAATTACCACAGTTTTTAATGAGTAACTAAAATAAATTTGATTAGTGGGTACAATGGGCTGTTTTCTCCACTAAAGTTTCATTAACGTCAATCTTAGGTACGCACAGTAATTAAGAAAGAATGAACACTTTCACATATAGCAACAGAAATTTTATCAGAATTCATTGTAACCCTGAGGTTTCTGTTTTGGGTGATACATATTATAATATTTTAACTTTCTCCGTGTCCACATTTCCTGCTCAGGAGACAGGGGAGGCTTAACATATTAGGACTATAAAAATCTACTTAATTCACTAAGGATCTTCAAAAAACAACAGTTTTTTGGGTTTTTTCTTCAGTTATTTTGACTGATCATTCATTGTTGGATTTCTTTCTTGGAATAGATGGGGTAAAGAAGACTCAAGTAATGATTCATGGAATTGAGCCAATGCTGGAAACACCTCTGCAGTGGTTAAGTGAACATCTGAGCTACCCAGATAACTTTCTTCATATCAGTATCATCCCACAACCAACAGATTGAAGGATCAGCTATTTGCCTGAATAGATTCACCCTGAAACAGGATTATTGGAGCATGTCACCTTTCTGCTTCAGTCAGGTTTGGTGAAGGCAACCTGACCAGAAACACTTAGCTGCTGCAAGCCAAACAGGAGAAAGATTCCATATCAGATAAGGCCCATTGGGCTGATCTGACTTTGCCTCACCACGGCTTCCCTCCCTCCACTGGCATCATTAAACCTCAGCTGCGACCTGAAAGACTTCATAGGACCACTGCAAGTCTTCTCTTCTTTTGTAAGGTAGAATGAAGCTGAAACCTCTGGCCTAAGAAGAAATTGGAAATAGGTGCCACTCAATTTGTATTTCTGATTAACAAACAAACAAGGGTATTTCCTTAGGTGACCATGGTTGAACTTTAGCTCAAGGGAGTGGAAACATTGGTTGAATTTTCAAGAGAACTAGACTTAAGAAAGTAAAAGAGAAATTCTGTTATCAAACTTGCAGTAATTTTTTTGTAAAAGATCAAATTACAGTAAACCCATCTTTCCTTAATGAAAATTTCCTATGTTTACAGTCTGTCTATTGGTATGCAAACAATCTTGTAACTTTGATAATGAACAGTGAGAGATTTTTAAATAAAGCCTCTAAATATGTTTTGTCATTTAATAACATACAGCTTTGTCACTTTTCAAGTACTTTCTGACTCACACACAGTAGATCACTGTTTTTATTCTGTTACTGTTCAGACTGGCCACTGTTGGCATGGGTGGATATAGAGCATAGGATAACTGGTCCCAGGAGCTCTCATAGAATTTCTTGTTGCCAGTTTTGAGATCTGTGTTCTTTACATGCTAAAGGTATCATATCATTTGCTGTTTTGTTTGCCGTTATAAACCTGTCAAATCATAATATGGTTAAGCATCTGTATAACATAATTTTGCATTTTGTGAAGTGGGGAACATTCCTTTCCTAGCTCATGTTTTTTATTGGCTCCTGGTCTAATATTTCATGTGGGGTCCCCTGGCAGCCAGTCTTTGAAAGTAAGACAACTCTTTCCTGGCTGCAGTAGCTTTTTCCTAACTTTACCAAAAATATTCAGATGTTACTGGAGCTCTTATTCAATATAAGGAAATCTTTGCTGCACTTTATTACCAAGCTGTTAGGATTCTATCAGCTAAATATATTCATGCATTACAGTATGTTTCTTGTGAGCTAGCTTGCTGTTCATATTGAATGTCGACCCATTTGAGTATGCTAAAAGACGTATAGTATCATACAGTAATGGTTTTGGATTCCATAATAAAAATGAACATTTTTCTTATAAAAAATTATATGAATATTGAAGTGAGATCCTGCTAGTACTCATTGCTTTGCTTTTCTTCTTTAACATTCATTGACAAATAGCAACTATATTCACAGAAACAGAAGGTTGTAGTTGGTCAAAGAGCAAATATTCTGTAATGGAAATTATAAGGCTCTATCAAACAGAAAACCATATGGTACCAATATTATCTGAGAAAAAAACAAACAAATAAATGTAAAAGTAAATGTAAATAAATGAAAAGGGGGAGCTTTAGTAAAGGCAGGAAAAAGTAGTGATAGCTGAGTTAATTAAGAATAAAAAAAAAAATCCACTGACTCGTCGTTTTGCAAAGAAGTTGGTCTGAATATGATTGTTCACATTATAAGTGCTTTTTCTTCTATTGAGTTTGGGGGTTTCCCCTTGATGTTTTGACAGACTAACGTGAGCTTCAGAGAGCAAAAGAATCCAAATGCCAAGGAGTGCTGAGTTATGATGAGGAGGGTGTGCTGAGTGGTGAGCCATAGGCCTTTCCCACAGGTGAGAGACCCATGCCAGGTCTCTGCAGTGCACTTTAGTAAGCTACTGGTATTCACTCCCAGATCTGAAAGTAAGTTTTAGCAAACCTTTGATCATTTTTACTTGTTCATTATTACATAAGCATTCTAACTTTATTACTCTGCCCTTCTTGAGGTTGCAAATAAGTTAATCCTCCAAGGCCCAGAGGAAGAATTTAAACCCAATTTAGTGCTTAGCTTAAATATCTATTTTTATTTCTTTTGATTAGAGTACTTGTCTTTTATGGTTTATTTAAAAAATTACATAAACTCTGTGTCTTTATTTCTAGAAGCTGGAAGTAACATACAAAGGAAGTTATGTATTGGGGAAATCATCAAAATGACCTTAGTCTTAGACCTGTTTTAGAAGTTTATCAAAGAAATGTAAAAGATGAATCAAAGAGAATGTGTGAAAGAAAATTTGGAGGGTGCCACAAATCTCAATGTGCTTGTGTAACAACTCAGCCTTAGTATATACGAGGGGGCTTCAAAAAGTACATGGAAAAAAAAATGGAATTAAAAAAAAAAAGGAATGTTCCACAAACTTTTTTGAAGCCCCCTTATAGTGACCCTAAGAAAATGAAAATGTGTTCTTTAAATATTGGCAATGTTAACTAGGAAGGAATAAATTTAACCTAAATAAAGGATTTCAAAATCCTTGTCCTCCATGAAATGGTTTTACATTTGGTAACGTAAGTTTTCACCATGAATAAGAGTTTAATTGATTTCCTTATGTGTTTAGAGACCAGAAGTAGTCTGTTTGTAATGTATCAAGATTGTCCTACTGCTCTTTATAGATTGACCCTGTGTAGTAGTCCTTGTACCAGTCTGATTCTGAGGTAAAATTATGAATGGACTAGGCTTCTTTGGTTTATCCCAATTCACTAGAAACTGGATAGGAATTGATCATTTCCCAAGAAAACTGTAATATGTAAGATTTGTCATCAAGTGACTTTTAATATAATAATCTTCCTAAGGTGTTTTTTTTGGTTGTTGTTTTTTAATGGACTATTGAGGTAACTTTTTCTTCCTTAAATTTTTCAAATTTTTGGTTTATGTGGGTCATGCCAAAGAATGACAGTCTCACTTTTTATTTATCATAGTGTTCATATTTAGGTCTGAGTTAAGTTGGGTTTCCTGTTCCAATGTAATTGAGATAGAAGTGTAAAATCTTAGGGTATAATAGGGAAATATTGTACTGGTCATCTCTAGATCTGAAAGGATTAAATATTCACCCAGGGGCAAGAAAGGAGAACAATACCTTCTCTCCCTTCCAGATAATTTGAGATAAATTGATCATTGATGAAAGATCATTTGACAAAATACTGCTTTAAATTCAAGCATGAATTTTAAAATTTATGATTTTCTATGCTTATTAACAAATGAAATACTGTGGAATCTAGTAGGAATAATATAGTAACCATAGAAAAAGGTTCTCAGTTTGTCGATCATTTGGTGGGTAAGTAAAGTTTTTAAATACTTAACTATATTTGTCAGCAGAGAATGAATGTGTTAGAATGGTGAACAATAAGATTAAGACATCTGAAGGTTTAGGAACGTCAGCTTGCACTGACCTATTAATTGATTTCTTCTGGAAATGATTTGTATAGCTTTCCCTCTAGCTTCTGCACCCCCTACATTACAAGAAGAAAGAAGGCACAACCAGACCTTTTCATCTTTCCCCAGTTCGTAGTGGAGTGTCTAGCATATAGATTATACTTCTTGTTAAGTACAGTCAAGTGGGTTGTGACTCGTAGTGGCCTTGTATAGGGTTTCCAAGGCTTTAAAATCTTTGTGGGAGTAGAAAGCCCATTTTTCTCCCGAGGAGCTGCTGGTGGGCTCAAACCGCCAACTTTGTGTTTCACAGTCCAGTGCTTATTCTGTGGAGCCACTGTGCCCCCTTGACGGTACCCTCGAGTTGGTTACAACTCTTAGCAACCCTCTGCAAAACAGAACAAAACACTGTCCAGTCCTGTGTCAGTCCATGTCATTGGGGGCCTTTTTTTCCCCCATAACTCTCCACTTTACCCAGCATGGTGCCCTTCTCCAGGGACTGGTCCCTGCTGATGATATTTCCAAAGTATGAGAGACAAAGTCTCAGCATCCTGGCTTCTGAAGGAGCATTTTGATTGCACTTCTTCCACCATAGATGTGTTTGCTATTGTAGCAATCCTTAGTACTTGTAATATTCTCCAGGGTGGTACTTGGTAACTGTTTATTACACAGATGGAGGGGATTGCGAGGGGGACCATAAAGATTATTTAATGATGTGTTCAAAATCAATGTCGTGGTCTCCTATTAAGAATATCAGCTATAAAATTTGTAAAAAAACCTTATCTTAGGAATCAAGCTCAGTTGGTTCCGGTTGGCAAACTGATTTGCTTACTCAAATCAGCTTCCGGTAGGGACCATTGTGGGGACCAGATCCTTATGTCAGCTCACATTCATTCTGGTGACATTGTGGACCACAGAACTTAACTACTGTTTAAACATCAGTGTAAGTTGTTATTAAGTGCCATCAAGTTGGTTCTGAGTCATAGTGACCCTGTTAGAGTTTTCAAGGAGCAGCTGGTGAGCTTGAACCACCAACCTTGCTGCAGTTCCTAAAGTTGGAGCAATTCTTACAAAACCCCCGGAGGTGTTTAATTCAGACTATTGAGTGATTTATGTCTTGCTTTTGCGTTTAAGACAGTACTTTTGAAAATACACAGTTTAAGCAAGGGGTGTGTCTTAGGCTTGTGAGCAAGGTAATTCAAGCAAAGGTATATGTAGAATCTTTTTCACAAAGACTTTAAGAAAATATTTGGTTTTCAACTTTTAGTATCGCAAGAGAAGGAGGGTATCTGCCTGCTTCACACCTTCCTTAGACAATGCTGATGAGCTTTTCCTTCATTGTTGTTGTTAAGTGCCATCGAGTCAATTCCAACCCATAGTGACCCTGTATAGGGTTTCCAAGGAGCAGCTGGTGAGCTTGAACCACTGACAATGCAGTTCAAACAACTTTTCCTTCATTATACTATGGTTTATAATTATGTGTGTGGTTTGAGTGTTTGCCCTACGGGAATATAAACCACACATACAAAGACTAGACCTATATAGCTCAGTATTATATCCCTAAGACCTAGTAAGTTGCAACATAGTAAACTAATAAGTATTTATTGAACAAAAGTTTGGGAAAGCTTATATATCATAGGGGAAATGCTACGTAAATTGTTAGATAGAAACATATCATGTCTTATCCTTCCCCTGAAAGATGCTTTCAAGTTTCTCATCTTCAAACAAAACAGCTTCAACCATTCTTTAATCCAAATAAGAGGATGTTCCATTTTGTCAACCACTCATGAAATTTATAGAATTGTTTGTTCTTGCTAGGTGCCCTCACGTTGGTTCTGACTCATAGTAACCCCAGATAGAACGAAATGAAACACTGCCCAATCCTAGGCCATCCTCACTAATGCTGCAATGTTTGAGCCAGTTGTTGCAGCCACCATGTCAGTGCATCTCACTGGGGGTCATTCTCTTTAACTGATCCTCTGCCAAGCAAGATGTCCTTCAGGGACTGGTCCCACCTGATAACTTATCTAAAGTACGTGAGACAAAGTCTTGCCACCTTTACTTCTAAAGAGCATTCTGAATGTATTTACTCCAAGTCAGTTTTGTTCATTCTTCCAGTTACTGAGTAATACATGCCAAGTCATGTGCTGTGAGGGAATGCCAGCAGTGAATGCGACAGACATGGCTTCAGCCCTCAAGGCGCTTCTAGATTTTTATGATGCAGTATTGCTGCTTAACTGTAGTCTGACAGGGTATGTCA